AAAGGGTCTCGACCCGAAATGTCAGCTTTCCTGCTCCTCTGATGCTGCTTGGCCTGCTGTGTTCATCTAGCTCTACACTGTGTTATCTCAGATTCTCCAGCATCGGCAGTTCCTACTATCTCTGGAGGTTAAGCAATCTGTCCTTACCTTTTGCTTCTCAGAGATAAAATTGGGCAGAGATCAGTTCTGATGGATTGCTGATTTAGTTCTGTATCTGAAGCTCCCAGTAGAACTAAATGCACCACTTAAAAATGTTACAATGGAGCAGAACTGCGGCCATTTCAAAATCTACTCCATTTTCATTTGAGAACACTGGCACAATATCATCAATTTGCCTCCGTGAACAGAATATCCAGTATTGCCGGGTATGATGTTAGATACAACAGTGATTTGAAAAAGACAAACAGTATTGTGGTTTTAAAGGATAAAGGATGATTGCTGAGCCCTTATGCACTACTTTTACATTTTTAGAAATGTTTAGAACAAACTCGTTCTGATTTGGTCCTTGAAATTAGAATCACGGGATTGCCTTTTGGAAAAGCATGGAGAGTAAGAAGATGCCAAACAGTTGAGGTTTCTGTTCACAAGGGCTATGCTCACCCATCATTATCTTTCCTTTCAGTAACACTGCCAGAGGATCACTTCTCTGAATTTATTTGAAAGACTTGATTTCAGCTGAGAGATGATGCCTGATTTGTGCTACAAGATACAATATGACTTCCAAAAGCAATTAAACAATGCTTGTGGCTGAGAATCTTATTTCAGATTTTGACAATTATAACTAGCAACACTATGTGCTGTTGCCTATTTGTTAATACCTAGGAGTGCTAAGGAGAGCACATAGCAGCAAGTCGGGTCAAGAGGGATAAAATAGCAAAAGGCTGTTTGAATATATTTAGTATTAAGAACAAAATAAATTAGTTAACACGGCAAAAGATGCTATTGAGTATGGTACTGTAACCATTACAGAGACATGATTACAAGGAGATCAGAGCTGGAACTAAATATTCAGGGGTCATGCAGGAAGAAAAGGATGGTAGGGTAGCTTTGTTAGTATGGGAAGGAGTGACCTTTGATTGGGAGATATGCAATCTATAATGGAGGAGGTAAGAAATAAAAAGGAGAATAAAACACAACTGGGAGTAATTTGTGGGCTGATTAACAGTAACTGTAGGATAGAAAATAAATCAGGAGGTGCAGAAGCAAAAAGAACAGTACGTTAATCATGAGTGACTTGAATCTTCATATACATATGGGAAGCTCAAAGTGGCAGAGGTAGCCACCAGGAAGAATTCAGAGTTTATTCTGGACACCTTCCTAAAACAATATGTTGTGGATATGAGCAGGGATCATCCTATTCTGTATCTGGTAATGTGTAATGAGGCAAGTTTAATAAATGATATCTCAGTAAAAGATTCCCTAGTGAACGGTGACTGTAACATGATGGAATCTTCACTGTGAGAGTGAGAAACTTGAGTCAGAAGCAACTGTGCTGAAGTTAAATATGGATAATCATAAAGGAATGAGAGCAGAGATGATGAGTGAGCTGGGGAAAGGATTTAGAAGCATCTTTGAAAGTTTATGAAGATTAGATGATTGTGCTTTAAACTACCATTTACCATTAACTTTTCCAGCAGTATTGTGTTCAGTGTTCCTTTATTCATCTTGCTTCCAATGCCAGCTTTAAACTGTACCTGTGTGTGTGAATAAGCCTGCAGATGATTTGACTTGAAAAATACTACTTTATTATCACACTACCTCAGATTATAGCTGGTGCAAATCCAAACATTTTGAACTGAATTTCACCTGAGCAGGAAGATTTGGCTGCTAATGTCAGTGTGCAGCATTCATGGGCCAGATATTAGTACAGGGTGAAAAATCCCTTTATTAAGCTTATATCTTTTAAGAAAAAACTCTGTTTAACTTCCACAGTAGCAATCATATACTTCTAAATTTGGTTGCCAATTAGTGCCAAATTACTTAGCCGGAAATGATTTGAGGGTTCTTCTCCTAATGTTTTAAATAAGATCCTTCGGCCAACAGAGTGTATTATCATCCTATTATCTGAATTGGATTTGATCAGAAGTGCCAGAGAAGTTGATGTTCCTGCTCAGAATTCTTTCAGTTTTTTATTTTAGCTGCTTGCATTAAAGGTATTTTATTTCAATTATGCCTAAGTACTAAAGTTATAGTGCATTGCAGCAGTTCTGAAAATTTTATTTGACTTGATCAGTTTTGTTACATATCTGAAGAATGTGCATCCAGCTTTACATCATTTCTTTTGCAATTTGAACATAAGTTTTTTTCTCAAATATGAGCTGGTTTCATTTCTTCTTGGGCATGTTTAAACTCATTTTTTAAATGTAATTGAATTACTAGATATTTGAGTAAACTTTGCTTAGTTTGTTACTCTGTTTCAAATAGTTTTCAGGACTGGAAAATGTCAAAATACTTACAAAGTTGCTGCAGAACTGAGAGGCCGTATCAGATTTGAACAACTCCAGGATTTTCAACTTGCATAGCTTAATCAAGAGAACATGGTACATAAGAGTACTGATCTGCAGTTATTGTTAGTCATTGTAAAAGCCAGAGGATCAAGGAGATGAAGGATGAGTTAGGCCAGGTAAGAAGAGGCTAAACAGTGTGTGATAGATGTGAGGTAATGAATTCCATCAGTAAGAAAAGCAGCAAATAAGAGTCCCAATGAGTATTGTCAGTAGGAGATTTATTGGTACAGAGCTATTGTAGAGTTAAACTAATATTAATAACTTTGAATTGCTAATGTGTTTATTGTGCATTATTCTTAAATTATTATCTCAAATTGCTTCCAGCCCTATCAGTATTTCATTCCAATATTGTGTAACTTGAAATTCAGCTTGGAGACTGAGTATGGAAAGACAAAATTCAGATCAGTAGATGTACCACTAGGTGTTGCCCAACTTTCAAGTAAACAGTATCCAAATTTTAAAAATTAAGTAGTGCTGCAGAAGAGCAAGAAATTGAAAGCCATGTCAGAAATACGCATATCAGTTACTGAGCTTAGTGTGCTTTGAGGTCATTTAAGAAAGGGCACGATTACACTATCTGGACCTTCACATGGAGTCAGCCAAAAGTAGTGTCTTTTTCTACACATTTTACACTCCCTTGTGAGGTTTCACTATTCTAATTCATAGCATGTTTGCCAGGTTGAATGCCCAGCCTTCTTTGGGGGGGTTGCTTCATTTTTTTTTTCATCCTTCTCTGCTGGTATTTTGCTCTCAACTTGCAATATTGCACTTTGAAAAGGCAAACATTGCTCTAAACTCAACTGTCAAGAGTGAATGAGAGAGCTAATGGACATAGCTAATGTTTTTTGATCTTTTCGCATGCAGTATGAATTGAACCCAGCAGATATAAAGAGTATGCAACTTATCCAAAACAATAAACAACAATTTCCAAAGGATTTCTGTAAGATAACCTTTTTGAACTGGCCTTATCAGTTGGTGACTAGTTGCTCGTTCTCTTTAAAGAGAATGCACTCAGGCAGCCAGAGGGAGTAGATTCGGCTTCCTGCACCATTGCTACTCCAGTCATTTTTATTATTCTACCTCACAATATTTGTCGATAGGAATTTAATTGGAGTTCCTTTGCATTGTATGATGAAAGCAAAAATTTCCTGTCTGAGCAAACCCATGACGGCCTTGACTAGCAAATATGATATACGTTCATTCAGGTGAAGGCACATTCACTTGCAAATTCTTTTTCTGCTCCTATTTTGTCTGTTGTTCTCTCTTTCCCTTTGGCTGTGTAAGTCCAAAAGGCAGGGTTTTCTTCACAAGTGTCAGTTGCTGCTAAAGCTAATAATTTTTACGTTTATCACCTGGGTAATGTTATAGCTATAGCAAAATGTGTCAAGAAGACTTAATGACGTTTCCATTAAGCAAATGAGGATATTTTATTCAGTTTTGTCAGATATTGTACCTATAAAATCATACTTCTGTTTAGTTGAAGAAAAGGTTTGCATATGGCAATGCCACAGAATGCATGGACTAGATCAGTTTAGGATATCTTGTCCATGAGGGTCTATTGCCA